ATCCAAATATCACATTAATATTTATTTTGTCATGTTTATAATTGTAATAAAATGAACTGGATGAAATTTTCAGGGTATTAAAATCAATGAAATGGCGCGTTAGATCTAACTCATGGTTGTAATCCCGCCAAATTGATAACAGCTTATATCATTTTGTTAGTGTGTTGAAACATTGTTTATTGCCTTCAATATATAAAATAATGGAACGATTGTGAATGAATTTTTCTTGACCACAGATTGAAGTTTGTTTATTTTTTATTGTGTTGATAAAGAAAAAGAAATCTTTTCGTAATTAACCAATAACGGGCTTAGAATTTGAATAAAATCATTAATAATCCAAATATTGCTTTGCCTACCTTTAAAAATAGTTTCACATTATTTGATCTTTGATTTCAAACAATATAGTGGCCTTATCAGCACCCCCTCCCACTCTCACAAATTGCAATGCCTTGTTACAAGCGCTGAAGATAAAATATGCATTTACAAACTATACCAATATTATTTTATTAACATTTTGCTTCAATCAGCTGACGATTTTGTATTTTAGACACACGTTGGACTACTCATCTTATTAATTCTTGTAGGACGTTAAACTCCATTTCATTTCATTAAATCTTAGGCCAAGATTAAAAATATTTTTATGGCCCGGAGAACTTGTCTTGATAACCCGTTATGATTTGTTTATGGTAGTAATAACACAATACAAATAAATCTATATTTGTTTCTGGTGGGATATTGGTAATTATGATAATAAATCGACACCTTTTATCGTAAATGTCTTGATTTCTTTGATATAAGTTAAGAATATTAATAAATACTCAATAATTAATGGAAGTATATTGTAATCTATAGAGGTGCCATTAAACGAAGAATTACTAGTAGAATTATTTGAAAATATAGAATTAACAGAATTGTTCAAATTTAAAATCTTTCATTAAAACTATGAATATTACATATAGTGTTTATTATATTAAATGTTACGTTGTAATAACGAATGTTTAAAAAGCCGTATTACTTTCAGCATGAAAATAGATGTTGTTATCAATTTTATATATCATATTGAAAACAAAAATACTATGTCTAAAATCCAAGTACTGGTTGACTTAGAGTAAGACCTGTTGAACAACCGGTCGATAAATTCGTTGAAAACCATACAATTAAACTACAAAACGAATATATCTCAGCGGACTAGCAGATTTGTTTAAAATTTTGAATACAATTTGATTTGAACGCTTATCCTAGATGAAATATAAAAATCAAAAATTAAAATTTTTATCGACCGGGTGCCTCTTTAAATGAAACATGTCTGTAGTTATTCTATTAAGAATAATAAGAGAATTATTTCATCTAAATTATATCATCAAAATATCTCTTGTCGGATGAGTATACTGACATAACGAGAGGGTGGGGTGTGGTACTGGTATAAGTATTCAGATATAATAATATTAATGGGGAATATTTGAGATAAATAACACACACAATATCAGGTCTAGAAACTAAACTGATGTGAGATATGTTACAAACAATATTAGGCCCAGGAAGAAAACTGAAAGTACAATATGTGAGATATGTTACAAACAATATTAGGTCCAGAAACGAAACCGAAAAAACAATGTGAGATATGTAAATTACAAATAATATCAGGCTCAAAATGTGAGATATATTAAAACACAATATTATGTCCAAAAACAAAACTTAAAATACAATATGCGAGATATATTAAAAACGATATTAGGTTCAGAAACAAAAGTAAAAATACCATATCTATGAGTATTAATAATGAGTGCAGAAGGACCGCACTACATGTCAACAAAACACAAACGAAAAACCTGCGTACAAGACACACAGACAACTTCAAGCCACAAACAACATACGTCTTGTTTTGTTTTTCATTTTGAGTAAAGTCTGTATCAGTACAGACCCCGGGACTGTACATCTCTGTGGACGCTTACGACTTGCCCCCCGAATTCATTCACTTGATTTGATATTTGTTGTTTATTGCTTACAATGTCTGTGTAGTTTGTGGTCTTGTCCGCAGGTTTGTCTTTTCCGTTTTGTTTTCTGTGTTGTGCTGCCCCCCTGTACTTACTCCTAGATCAAAAGAAATGAATGGATCCAGATATAATACTATTAATGGAGAATATTTGAAATATACAACAGATAATATTGGATCCAGTGACCCAGAGAGAAAACTGAAAATACATGATCAAGTTTTCCAATGGGACAACATTTTAAAAACAAATGGAGAATATTTGAGATATATAACACATAGTATTAGGTCCAGTGACCCAGAAACAAAACTGAAAATACAATATTAAAATCAAGTTTTCCAGTGGGAAAACATTTTAAAAACAAATCCTGGGTACATAAATTTTTATCATTTTAAACTTATCGATAGAGTAATACGTGTCATTAAACAAAACTACACAATATTGAACACAAATCTAGCAGCGGGATATAATTTGTTAAAAAAAACCACCACAAATCATATATACATTTATTATTTGTATCTTGTTGATATGGTTGTGGCTACTGTTATCTGGTTTTGAAACTGTTGTCTCTTTTCATTTATTCGAGATAACATTATACTATTACTTTGTCCTAATCTTTATTCTAAATGATATTAAATTGCATCAGATTAGAAATGGTTTCCGTCGGTCGATGATCGCTGGGGAAACAGAGCGGTTTCATTTCAGTTGAATCTTATTCTCAGAATCTTATAAACCAATTTTATTTTAGTTAAAGTCTTGCCGTAGTGAAGTATCAAAATTTCTTTTTTTAATATCGGATTGGAAAGAAATATCGTATAATATTTTAATTCTAAAATATTGATATTTCTAAACTGTCGTGGAACGTTGACTTGAACCGTTAAACTGGAGAAATTTGAAATCGCTGAATATTACTAAATGTGAATGTACAACAAAATTGTGTCAGTTGGGTGGACTTCTCGAATAAAAAAATGATATTAGATGTTCTTAAAATGGAGTAAAGTGTAGTGTCGTATACGGCTTGAAATAATTCAAACCGGCCTGTTGTTCATTACACCATGGCGACATTACGTAGTCTAAAAATAAACATGGCGGCTAGCATGTTTTATACCGAAGTAAACAAGAGAAGGGGAATTTATGTCATTAGAAACAGCAGAGAAAATATCCAAAATCAATACTTTCTTTTTAATAAAATAGTGCCATATTCCCCCAACGATATCATATATTTTTACTGTATTATTAGATTTTTGTTTAAATTGAAAAAGCTAAGTTTATAAAACGTCCAACACAAATAAATTTCGTCTCGTTCTTAATTAATTATTAAATAATGGGAAATAAATTGGCTGTTCTGAAATGAAATCAAAATATGGGTTACATTTATTCGTTAATTTTTATTATGCATATAACAGAACATATTCCAAATCGTTTTATTATTTTGTTTTATTTTAAGCATAAATCGACAAACAAAATACAGTTTTGTCACGAATGTATATTAGCAGAGCAATCTAGATTTAATTTAAGGTGGTGTCGCTACTGCCAGCTGTAACGCTAAGAATGATTCATGAAAAAGTTGGCGCAACAACGGGCGCCAAAACATGGTGATTGTTCTACCATTATTTAATCAGGAATAAAGCTTTGAAATTTTATAATTTTTAAATATGTTGAATACAAAACGAAGCATACGCCCAAAGTTTAGAAAAACACGTTGATTATTTTAATTAGTGGAGAGTATTTATGCACTTCCGATCTGTATTCGGACGAATAAATTATCATACTATTGAAGTTATTAAACAGCGGGGGTGCCTTTTGATGTAAATATCAATAATAATGATGTTATATTGTAGCTTTATATAAATTTTGAATGAAGAAAAAAAAAGCCAAAAACCAGCTATTTAAAAAAATAAAATAAATAGATAAATAAATAAAAAATGAAAAATAATTGTGCATTCTGGTGTCGTTCACGAGGCAGGATATTATATAAATGGTAGCCGACTTATTTTGTTATGAGTGTTCAGCACGAACTAAGTTTTTCCGTCTTCATTAGCCCACTCGGTGCAGAAAAATAGGATCTTAAACCGCCATTTCAGGAACAAAATTATTGGTATACCTTTTTGTATTATCTAACTTCGGTGTTTTGAATTTGAATAAATCAATATGTGTAAAATTATCTAGGTGTCGTTCACAAGACAGACTGTGCTGTATATCCCTGTTGACATCGATTGCCTGCACATGTTTGTCAACGCACGTGCTTAAAACGTTTTGATTGACATTTTGTATCATTTTGTGTTTTTATTTAAAAAATCCTTAAAATCATTTAAAATCCCTCACTTTGTTATTTTCAATTTATTTTTCAATTAATTTTATATTCTTAGTAAATAAAGTATATAGAACTATTTAGAAATATGTATGTAGCTAATCTGTATGTCAAGAAAACCTAAACATGAAGTAAATCCATTTCAGCTCCTTTTGAGTTTGTGACGTCATATTAAAATATACAATAAGCGGATTTCCGGTGACGTCGTCAAATGGTCGAAATATTTCGAAGGTTCAAACTGATAATTTCAATTTTTATAAAATAACGAAACAAAGATGAAATTAAATGTTCATAATTTGATATACATGGGTACATGGAATGGTCAGAGAAAACAATGGGATAAAATAAAACCTAGTACGAACAATCCAAACCATTAAACAAAATTCGAAGTCCTAAAAAAACGGTATAGGGAAAATAGTGTAATCAGCAAATGGACTGTTGGTCGTGTACAAATATACGACAAACAGTGGTAACAGGTGTTAGGAAGAGTAAGCTTACCCTGCCTGGCGCCACACCCGCCATAGCTGGATCCAAACCATAATCTACTCCTCCGAGATGAGCGGTCTAAACTGACTTTTAATATCTTCGATATTTGGAAAATTTGTATACATTAAATTATTGGGGTTTTTTTTCAGAACACCTGATAACACTTTTGGACTGTATATATGTATTTAACGGTCAATTTCTTGTATTTTCAGATCAGAAGCAGGGGGCGGGGAAAGTGGATCCCCCGATACTGATTCGAATTTCGCTGAAAAACATGAAAGGTATTTATATCATTTATTTGAATTGAACTTCAGTATTCTTTCAAAAAGCTTTTCATCACATCAACACACTTCACATCAGTTTACAAAATTCTCAAATTTGTTGTTTTAAGTTCATTTACATACAGCAGCTCTGAAGCGCTGTTTATGATAACCATGTTTTGTTGTTCAATGAAGATGTAAACGGTTTGGTGTTTATTGGGAATTCATATTAACCGAACGTCTTTTATACGTGTTGGTTATAAATAGTTTGCCTTTAACGTCCAGGGAAATCCATGGACTATTGTTGTATTTGGTCTTTATACTAACCGGTCTTTCGTACTAGCTCGTTATAACGGGAATTTCGCCAAACGAAGTCCACGGACTGTTGCACCATTTGGCCTTTTATACGAGTTCGTTATATACAGTTTGCCGCAACGCCAAACGAACTATTTTGCTACTTAGTATTTTATACGAGTTCATTATAAAGGGATCTCCTGCAACGTCAACCCAAGTCTAGGAACTATTACGCTGATTTGTTGGATTGGACTTTAGGTTAGATGGTACTATATTCTATTACTCTTGAAGGCATCAACATAATTTTCAACACTCATATGCTGTTTTTTGTTTTGTTTTATTGTGTGTATCTTGTGGATAGATTTCCTCTTAAACTATATTTTCAAGTTTTGTTTATGGATAGATTTCCTTTTAAACTATATTTTGTTTATGGAGGGGCTATACTCAATAATACACTACTAGTATATTGTACATTTCAACAAATATAGTCGATTTAATCTCCATTAGAAGATAACACATGGTCCAGTTCTCATCGTATAGATATCGAATATATATATACATGTCTGTGTAGGAGAGAGAGAGAGAGAGAGAGAGAGAGAGAGAGAGATGGGTTTAACTGTTCACTCGACACAAAATAGGTCATTCCGGGACTAAGTTCAATTTTATTTCAATACTTCGCCTGTGCGTAGGGGACTTTAGCAGTGGCGGGAAATCGGAGAAATCGGAGAGAGAGGGGGGCTCACACACTGGGCTATTTCGGGATTACCATCCTTATTTCAATAATTCGCTTGTGTGCGTAGGATTCTTTGGCAGTGGGAGGAAGCCAGGGAACCCGGTTGAAGGCCGCAAAGTTAGACAGGCAACTTCGCTCCTTGTCACGTGTCATCAGCCTGAACCAAATCCAACCCATTGGATTCAATGACGTCATATAAATCAACTGTAATTTTGTACTTATTTCATTGTTCTCCACGCAAATTTACTTCAAGCCGATGGCCATTGTTGGTGAAGAAAGTATGACGTTAACCCTATTTCGATTCATTTCCTGACTGATAGCGGTATTAATGCATATTTGAAGGTTTCACACGGTTAACAAATTTTTGTTATAGTTTTCAAGTTTTGTATTTAAAATTTAAGCAAATTTAAGCAAATTTAAGCCTAGCCTACTAATGGCTGTTACAGTTTTGTATTTAAAAGATAAGCATAGCCTACAAATGTGCATTTTAAAAAAAGCATAGCCTACAACTGGTGTACGAAATCATACATTGACCGACTTCCGCATTAAATAATCTCCGAGAACATGTGGTATTTTTAACTGCTATTAGACTGTTCTCTATTAGAATTACAATATGATGCCCGTATAATATTTACAAGCGATGAATCTCCCAGGGCATGTTGATTTATGCTAATCTAAAAACCATTGTTGATAATAACGGGATTAATTTTCATACATTCTCCCGTGCCGTGTTATTATAGTATTTTTTAGCGCGAGATTATGTTCAAGTCTATATAAATAATAACCAGTCATTAATATAAACCCCTATACGCTTATAGAAGTGTAGATTTTTGTATGTTGAAATATTACAACATTTAGTGTACTCTGCATTTCGTTTTACTGGTAAATACCAAAAAAAAAAAAGAAAAAAAAGAGAAAAAATAATAATAAAATACCAAATTCTGTAAATGGATAACAAACGAAATATCTATTGGATGATGTTCAGGAAACAATATTTCGCTAAACCAACAGTTAAAATACATTGTTATATTTGACCTCTGATTGAAGTTGTCTAAATTTATCAATTATAAACGACTCTTATATTATTCACATTGTTCTTCGTTGGTTTGTGTTTCTAGAAACGTTGTTGAGAATATATTAGTTAACCCATCTAGATTTTATAAATGTAGTTTCTAGATTTTATAATTGTAGTTTCTAGATTTTATAAATTGTAGTTTCTAGATTTTATGAATTGTATTACTAGATTTGATAAATTGTAGTTTCTAGATTTTATGAATTGCATTTCTGTATTTTATAAATTGTAGTTTCTAGATTTTATGAATTGTAGTTTCTAGATTTTATAAATTGTAGTTTCTAGATTTTACAAATTGTAGTTTCTAGATTTTATAATTGTAGTTTCTAGAATTTACAATTGTAGTTTCAAGATTTTATGAATTGTAATTTCTAGATTTCATAAATTGTAATTTCTTGATTGTAATTGCTGGAATTTATAACTTTGCTTAATATTAAACGATGCATTTATGTAAAAGAAATAAATTTAGCCATTTATTTATATATTATGATGAGGTGTTGAGAAGCTATAACATAACTCCTAGAAATATTTTAATATAAAAATGTCAATATTTTCTCTGTTTAGGTTTTTCCCTCAATAATGAGTTAAGTACATTAAATACGATCATTTTGACTGCCTGTTTGTAGTCATGTAAAACATGTGTTGGACATTAGACTTTGGTACAATAGTATTAGAGTCGGATTATTTTGGTCCCAGATTGACACATAAAGAAAATCTATAAATATAGGGCGAACCTCAAAGACCAACCGCCGAAACCGTCGATATGTCTTAATATTATTAAGAGCAAATAGACTAAGGATTTTTTTTTAAATTAAGGGTTTATATAGTACAACTGAAGCATAGTTATCTTAATGCCATTCAGTTATAAACGATCCGAGGAAACATTTGGAGAGTTTAAATAATCATTTTATACTATATTAAAGCATGACATTAAAGAGGCACTATGTGGGGCGGTTATATTTGGAATAATAATTAAGCAATGCTTGTTATTGTATATATATATATAGTATGTAAATAAATCACTGACCTATATAATATACATTATGTAAGATCTAAATCTGTATAATGCAGGTCTTTCTTTAGGCCTTATATGTTATATAAATTATTAATTAGACATTTTTTAACCTACCAAGACCATAATCAAATCTCGATGCCATCAGATGGCTCCGATTTTAAAAAGATTTAAATACGTTTGGTGGTTGATGGATAATCGAGACGACTTTGTTTATTATCGTAACAACGGTAGCAGTGACAATCGAGGATACACTGTAATTATATCTCCGATAACTCGACTCAAAGTGAAGTAAATTGACTGAAAATTTCAACATATTCCCTTTTCATTATCTAATTTTAAACTATTATGTAAGAACTGTCAGCTCTTTATCTAATCTTACATAATGCATCTTTAATAAATAATTATTGTAGCAAGAACTGTCCGCTCTTATCTGTATCTTACATAATGTATCTTTAATTCATCAACATGCATAATGTCTGCAACCAAGGTATCAGAGAGAGAGAGGGAGCGAGAGAGAGAGAGAGAGAGGGAGCGAGAGAGAGAGAAGAGAGAGGGAGCGAGAGAGAGAGAGAGAGGGAGCGAGAGAGAGAGAGGGAGAGTGAGAGAGAGAGAGAGAGAGAGAGAGAGGGTCACACAACACAAAAACTAGGTTATATGGGCACAAACATATTGTACATCTCTATTTCTGTGTGTCCACATAGCTCAAAATTTATTTGTATCTTTATCACTGACAACCAGCACCCCCGCCCTCCGCCCCGATGTTTCTCTCTGTCTATTTAATTTCTTCTGTGAAAACATGTATTACCCTTTATTTGTACTGACACCCCCCCCCCCCCCCCACTACACACACACGGTTTGAGGATAATTAAAAGGGATAAAAGTCCGCCTGTAGGTTTTTCTTAAAGTAGTTCTGTTGTGCAGTCATTCCTTGTTACTTTTTTAAGCTACTAGTTTAGAATTTATCGACAAATAAATTATTTTCTAGGTTAGCAATCTAACGCATTGTAATCTAAGTGACTGTAGTGTATTGTAATATTTCTGCGACAGGTAGGTCCCGATCCAAACAATACATACAACTCATTTAAATTCATTGATATGTTGATATATATGCTATTCATATTGTTTAACAATAGGTTGACGTTCGCTGACACGTAACACGTCAAATTAAACACAGTCTGGCTATAAGATACAACATCGACGCTTGTACGGGGGACTTAATTCGTTAACAGCATAGACACGTGAAATGAAATGGGGTTTAACGTCTTACTGTTCTGCTCCGAACTGGGCTAACGAAGACGGATATACATCATACAGTGTGCTATAAGGGTGATTTTGCCCTGGCAGCGGCGCTACGGCCTACTCTTATATCGAATTCCAACAACCAAGAGATCTTTTACGTGCACGCCATTGTGTACACGGAACCTCGGCGTTTCGTCACATCCAAACGACTAGACAGAAGTCCTTGTCAGGCCCAGCATCGACTCAGAATCAGGACTGTTGACGTAGTTTTTTTTTAGAGAAAATGGTATTAGGGTAGGGTGGGCGGGTTTAATTAGTACTAGGTCATTCTTGAGACAGTCATACCCATTCCAAGACTCAGAATGTGTTTATCTCTATAAATATGAGAGACAGAAATGGGGTTGTACGTCCACGTAGGGGTCTTTAGCAGTCGGAGGAAACCGGAGGACCCGGAGAAAACCCCACGAGGTTGGACAGGCGACCCTACTCCTTGTCACGTACAACCGAAGAATCGAAACCACGCCAATTGACTCAATGACAGACCTTATGATACGGCGCGCTCGTGTTAACCATTCGCCCCCCCCCCCTCCGCCAATGAAGTAATGTAATTCATGATATTGTTAACTAAGGATGAATATAAGATAGGTCAGTCAATATTGATCTATGCATCTCATATTCAAATATTTTATCTTATCTGATTTTCATTCATATTTTTAATCTTGTATTTTATCTTTCATGCATCGCTTTGTTTTGTGATGACCAAATGTGATTTGCAGTGTAGTATTCGTCTGCAGGGCTATAGTCGTCTGCAGGACTCTATTCGTCTACAGGACCCGGGGAAAACCCACGAAGCTGGACGGGTGACCCTACTCCTTGCCACTTTTCACAAAGTATTCTCAGACTTAAGTTAGGAATTTACTCAACTTTCAATCACTGTTTATGCTCACAGTTTCTTATTGATGTGTTTGATACTTTAAAACAACAAATGCCTTATAAAGGACTAAATTTTGAGTAAATTCTTAACGCAAGTCTGAGTAGGCTTTGTGAACTCGGGGCCTTGTGACGTACAAGCTGCGAATCGAAACCACACAACTTGACTCATTGACAGACCTTATAATTTAAAGCACACGCCTAGGATCATTCGGCCACCCAATCCACCTAATTTATAAAATCTTACAAATGTTGTATTATGTTAATGTATAAAGAGTAAATAGAAAAATGGCTGACTGTTAGTTTAAAAAATACAAAATGGCTGACTGTTAGTTTAAAAAAAAACCTGAAACATACCAAGAATGGATTATACAGTATTGTTTAATCGCGGAAATCTTCAAGTTCTTTTCATATTGTCAACAATTTATATTTACATACAAAACAATACAGCTATATTCTACTTGAATATAATGACTTAATATTTTTTTGGTTGTTAAAATTGTGTGAAATAATGGATTATGTTTTTATGGTTGTGAAACGCATTTTAAAATGAACTGTTAATTATTAGCTTACAATAAATCTAATTTATAACAATGAACAAAATACAGTTGTCTTTTGATATAAAAATAAATGTTTTGAATTGAAATCTGAAATAACCGTGAGTGAGATATTTTCGTCCTTTTTGGAAATACTTTTTTTTTATTTGTATTTGTTTTAATATTAAAACACAATGTGTATTATATATGTGTAATTATTGCCATATCATTCTTACGAGACAGAAATCTCCGTCATATTGTTCGAAGTATTATTTTGATGACGTCATACACGGCGTTGTCTCAAAATAAGAATGTTCCATTAAATAGAGGCAGAAGTTCATGTTATCGTTGTTCTAACAAACAAATACATAACGAATTTTAAAAGTTTAAGGTTGTTTATTTAGATAGTCATGACTAAATGAAATAGGGTTTAGCGGTTATGAGGGAAATGTTGCCTCGGACATCGGCGTTTCCGCCTTCTCTTCACCGGTCTTCATTAGCTCAGTCAGGGCAGAACAGTAGGACGTTAAACCTCATTTCATGTCTTCTTTTCACCGAATTCCAACTGTCAAGGGTTCTTTTACATGTATGCCAACGAGTAGACGGGGAAACCAGGCTGAAAAATTCCGAAGAACTTCATCGATCAACGCTGGAATCGAACTCGTGACCTCCTGTTTTATGTGAATCAACACCAATGGGCTTTGTGGATCCCAAGGCCTTAAGTAAGAGAGGCATATGGCGTTTCCGTTTCGAAAAGGGGTAGGCATACTCTACTTCGCTTCTACTATTCGAGAGACTGGTAATTATCAAAGATGGCGTCGTGGGGTGGGGTGGTGTTGGTAGTAGTTGAGGAAGCATGTGCTGTGCTATTCATAATATAAGTATAGGCAGCTAATATTTGTTAATACTGTCATGAGATAAACAATGAAGCCTATTTATATTTATCTTGGGATTAGTTCTGTGTGAACGGGGTGTAAGAATTACGAAGTCTGATGTACAAAAAAGCTAAGTAAAGTATACAATAAATAGTTAGAGGAATTAACAGACTTTATCATATACCCTTGATATAGTCCGTGATATATTTGAAGTCAGTTTTCTGGGGTTGTCTTTTATGTAACTCGACACACAGAAGGCCGTCAGAGAAATGATAAGCAGACCGCTTATTTCCCGCGTTTTATGCCTAATACCAAATGTAAACTGGAGGTTAATAGGCTCAAATGGAGATCAAAGGCGCCGCCTCGTAGCTCGACCTTCCAATGTGTGTATATCATTGTTATATATTTAATTCCCTATTCACAGTTTAAGTACTCACAATTGTCCCCTTAATCCGTACCCTTAGATCCTCAGTTTCAAAATTAACTTAATCCCAAAATTTCACAAGCTTCGAGAATTTCGAATATCATTGTCCAATTTTAATAAAATAATTGAAATACACCTCGTCTCTTAAGCCATGCTGATATCGCCTTAGACGGGTTTTAATTTTCTTTCTTGCTACGCTGTTACTTGTTTTCCCGAATCACTTTGAAATAGTTTCTTTTAAAAAAAAGAAGTTTCCATGAAATTGGAAAAAAAACGGCAAGTCCCAATAGGTTGTCTATTATCTACTTCATTTGCTTCTTCATAAATTGGGTTTCGATTCCCTGGTTGTACGTGACAAGGAGTAGGGGAGTATGGTCGCCTGCCCAACCTCGTGGGGTTTTTCCGGGTTCTCCGATTTCCTCCCACTGCTAAACACTCCTACGCGCAGTCGAATTATTAAAATAAAAGTGAAGCATGTTTTAGTCCCGAAATGAATTAGTTTGTATCTGTGTCGAGTGGATGTTTAACTCTCTCTGTCTCTGTCTCTGTCTCTCTCTCTCTCTCTCTCAATTTATCTATTGGCGTGTATTGGTGTTAAACGCAAACTTTCTTTCCCTTTGAATTTTATAAATTGTCACCACATCACAGGTATAATGGTCATTCAATTAATCATCATCGTGGTATTTCATTTCGTAAGCTTTTCCTCTAACCTAAAGCAATTGTTTACATCTTGGTCAACATTGTTGTATTTTTTAAGTTTTACGTCGACCAGTTTAGTGAATGGACGTATTTCGGTTTCAATAGAAAGGATTGCTATTATAATGACAGAAGGAAATAGAGATATCATGACAACACCACTCCCAATAGCCTTCAAACAACAGCAACATTGTAAAAATAAATTTAAAAAGAAGATGGGACAATAGACAAAATCCAGTGGACGAAAACAGAAAACTTGTTCAATAGTGTATCTGGGCGAACTATGTCGAATCATGTAATAAGGATAGACTGTTTCCAAAGTTTGCCATTTTCCCCTTTGGGCTCTGCAATGCGCCGTGGCAATTCAGAAAAATATATTACCTTGTTTTTTTTGTTTCAAATGACGTCTATTAAAATGTGTGTAACAATTCACAAACATTTTCTTGCGTCAACGAAATAAATTCAAAGTATTAGCTATAAATATTTTACGAGACAGGTCATTCTTACTCTTTCTAGAAGATGTTTCTCATTTATTGGTGACGTTGCATATTAATTGTATTTCACATTTGACATTTTGCTATTTTGTTACTTATATTAAAGTGTATTTTACTCTGAACACCTTACAAGATTCACACGTGCTATAAGATAACTAGACCCGTGTATAGATAGATTAAAGCCTTAACCATTGTGCCGCCCGTCCTCTTGTTAGAGATGATAAGCTCAAACATAGTTAGGTTTATTTCAACACTTAGAAAACTTACATGTCTGTCATTCGTGTCGCTTATTGTAACATGAGCTTACAATTACATTTCTAAATGGTAAACAGTGGTTTAACCTACATGCATTGGCGGTGTTGTGAGAAGAAAAACCCAACTAGAATATATATATGTAATCCTGTAGTTAAACGATTATCTCTTGGGATTGATTTTAGGATTTGTGTTTTCTCGTCGATTGGTTTAAAATATCATATACATGAGATCAACAGGTGATTTAACCGGAAGTACGGAACTATTTTGTATGGAAGAGTAACTGTGATTACTATGGTGAGAAGAGTGGTGGTACCATTATATCTAATACCTGAATGGATGTATTTTCAGAATATGTTATTATCGTCTTCCAGATATGGAGCAGTCAAGTTAAACAAATAAACGGGGGTGGTTGCCTGTTATACCTTACTTTCATAGCCTGGAGCATCGCTGATTTATTTGTTTTCATAAAGAAGGAATATTTACATTTTTGAAATTCTTGATATAAATGGTATCCCACAAACGGATAATGGTCTTCAAGGAATTGCGTTGAAATAACATCAACTTAAATCTGACAATAATTTAAAAAAATGATGATTGATATGTTATCAATATGAACTGTTCTATTTTCATCACAGGGTCGAAGCTATGAAGGAAAAATCGAAAAATGCTGCAAGGACTCGCAGAGAAAAAGAAAATGCGGAATTCTACGAATTGGCAAAGATGTTGCCTTTGCCATCGGCAATCACCAGTCAGCTGGATAAAGCCTCCATAATACGTCTATCGACCAGTTACCTTAAAATGAGGACAGTTTTCCCTGAAGGTAAGAACACTATTTCATTCATTAACACATAGTATCTGTCTGTACTATTAAATATTAACACATTTTACCTCCCCTTCATACATACAGAAATATTACAACGCAATACCCATTTAATACAACTTTTGTGTGCTACAATTTATTACAGATACTTTACAATGTAATGATATAATTAATACAACTTTTGTGTGTTACTAGTTATTACAGATAATTCATAAAACTTTTGCATGCCTGTATTATTATTTAATATTAACACAGTTTCTCCCCCTTTCGCACATCTCACATACAAACAGAAAAATTACAACTTAATAAAGATAATTAATACAACGTTTAAATAACACATATTTAAGGGTTGATCCAGGTCAAAGATTATGAACCCAACCCATACTGTCTCTATATTCATTATGTATTTTCTCCCTACAATTACAAGCAGAAAAATTGTCACTCAAACTAGGGAATTAATATAACCGTTACATTATAATTGGGAAAATTGCACCTTGTATGTACCAACTACATTTCACCAAAAACGTATATCCCCGCGTAAAATAGCATACTTTCCTCTCGATGATTTGCAAAGGGTTTATTTTCCCGCTCCGCGTTTTTCGTGACATGACGACTTAAGTGTTTCAGAACAAGTGATATTTGGGACACTTCCCTCTTACGGCAAGGGCCGGTAATTCGGTGAATAGTAGTATACTTTTTAGCTTAGTAATCAATCAAATATTATTTTGCCACACAATATGTCCTTAAATTGTAGAACTTCTGTTTGTGGGTATGAGTGTTTTTCACATTACTAATTAGAAAAATACACACAAGGACAATGGGATCAGTTTATTGACCTAAGAAGCCCCCCAAACATATATATTTGGAGATATAAATTATTAGAATTTTTAGAATAATATAGGTTCATAAATGACATGTTATTCAAGAAGGACATTTAAAAAATAATATGAACCCGACATTGACTCGAAACAACCCTGAATGATAAAACCGCCAAAGATAAAGCAATTATATAATTTTCAACACCAGTTGTAAGTTCTCTCACGGCACCAAGCCTACGTATATACCATATATATGATAGTTACGTACATTCATAACTCAATAGTGAATAGAAATATAATAAATTGCCATTATTTTTCTGAAAACAGACTTTATTTTGAAATAGCGGATCATATGTTTGAGTTTAATAATTATGAACATTCACATCAACAAACATGCACGAAATCATAAAAGAGAGTTGTTTTTGTCTGGAAATACATTTGTCTATAATAATTGCAGTTGAAAAATCAAAACATATATGTGAAATATATTTTTCTTTACAAGATTTTTGTTGTAATACATTATAGAAATGTCCATGCTTAGAAACATTTTTATAGCTATAACGAACGTCACGTTTTAAAATTGATGGAGATCAGTTATACACATGGACTTTTATTTATCGTGTGTCGTTGATGTAACTTGGCATTTTGGTTGTAGCTCCATGTTGTTGAATTATTTAAACTGCCCAATGAATTCGATTTAAGGCCAACCAGTCAGCATGAATTCTAACTTCCGAGTTCCTTTTTTTTTTTTTTTTTTTAAATAGTGTCGCGCGTACAAGGAACCAATACACCGACGGAAATTTGAGATTTTAATGAAACTAGAAAACTACGCTTAAAAACATACGTAATAGTAAGTGTTTGGATAAATATAGTGATGAATAAAAGTGTATCAGTTTGACTGTTCATGCAATTTATTTATTACTTAGAGTTACCCGCCCCTTGTAAATAAACTTTGTTTTCATCTCTTGGTGGCGCTGACCCTAGGCTCGTGCTTTCTTTGAAGGGGTCAGTCTTGTACTTACCTAAGAAAGATGATAAATAAAATAGTGTCAATATCTGGCGAGTCTAATATTATTTTAGTCTAAATTTTGTGTATCTAGTAAATGTATTCAAACCCAGGCTGTGTTTGCCTATATACGATCGCCATCTTTGAATCAAATAATCTTTTTTTTATTGAAGAGTTTTTGGTGGTAGAAGGCTGGTTCCAACAGGCTTTCAATTGGAATGTATCTATTAATTTTGCTTCCGGTTATAGATTTACTAAAACTATTATCAGACGTGCCTGGGGCAGAGTGTGCTTACTTGTTCTTGAAAACCTTATATAACTTGTTATCCATGTAGATCGCTGGCCTCAACCGGTTTCCAATGGTGTCGAGATATGATAATTGAGTTTGAAGTATTTGTTACACGTGTTCAATTTGTTTTTAAGTGACTTCCTTGAAACGGAATATACAATCAAAAAAAGGGTTATAGTCTTTAAACAAAATACAGAACGATTCTAGGTAGAAGAGTTACGTGGTGTGCTAGAAATAGTAAACGTACTCTGCCGCGTGCACAGTTAGTGGGTACAGCTGATTATTAACTTTGAGCGATAGGCTGGAGAGAGAGAGAGAGAGAGAGAGAGAGAGAGAGAGAGAGATAGGGAGGGAGTTTTACGTCCATTCGACACAAACTAAGTCATTTCGGGACTAACATACGGTTTAATTTTATTTCAATAATTCGCTTGCGCGTAGGGGTCTTTAGCAGTGGGTGGAAACCGGAGGACCCGGAAAAACCCACGAGGTTGGACAGGCGGTCCTACTCCTTGTCACGTACAACCGGGGAATCGAAATCACGCCAGTTGACTCAATGATACAGCGCGCACACGCTAACCATTCAGCCATCCACCCCCACAGGCTGTAGGGAAGAATAGTAATAGTATTACAAAGTGTTATTTTGTTAAAGACTTCGCCATCAAAGATTATACAAGATATCCCTCTAATATTTACTTTACAAAGCAATTAAAATCTTGGTGAGTTGTCAAGAGTAAATACTGTCTAATTTTAAAGATACATTATGTGAGAGCAAAATCAGTCTATGACTGGTCTTTCCCTGGCTTAAAATGTTATATAAGTTATGATCTTGATATTTATTCACATGTAAAGCCCATAATCAACTCTATAGACTTGTGGATGACTTAGGTATTGAACAGTTTCGCCATTTAATAATTTAACGATAAATAGATAATCGAGACTTTGTTTATTATTGTACCAAGCAATGGTACTTGAAATTCGAGACTACCTTGTCAAAACTTCAAACGTCGCTTAGAATAAAATTAATATTAATATGATGGAAATTTTCAGTATATTCCTTTCTCATTATTTATTCTTGAGCTATTATAGCAAGAGCGATCATCTCTTTAGCTAAATCTTACATAATGCATCTTTAATGGTTGGTGTTTTGTAGTAAAATTATTTCGTAAATGACTTCATTTTTGAGGTATGTAAACGAAGTTGAGAATGAAAGTAAAAAAAGAATGTCGATATATACGAGATGTCTAAACTAGTGTGTGGCTGTAGATCAAAAAGAATGATTATTTAAAATTCTATCCCCACCGTGGCAAGGTAAACAAACTTATCCAAACACAGAATTAGAGCATTTAGACGAACACAAACGGTGAAAATATTAGGAGTGGCAAACACCATGGAAAATAAACTACTGAATACTTGAATGCTATCTAGCTATCAGTCGAACGGTTAATATACATGTATGTTTAGTTTGTGTTTTGGTTTTGAACAAACATTTAGACATTGATACTGAAGTAGACTTGACGTAGGTAAATCGTCTGTTCGCCATTTTTCCAACTAACCGATGTAGATTTTGAGAACTCAAAAAAGATAAAAAATAAAATAAAATAGTAAAAAAAAAGACAGAAAATAAAAGAGAGAGAGAGAGAGAGAGACAGAGAATGAGAATTGTGGTTTATCGTCCACTAGACACAAAGTAGGTCATTTCGGGACTAACACATGGTTCAATTTTATTTCTATAATTCGCGTGCGCGTAAGGGATCTTTAGCAGTGAGAGGAAACCGGAGTACCCGGAAAAAGCCCACGAGGTTGGAGAGGCGACCCTACTCCTTGTCACGTACCACCGGGAATTCGAAACCACGCCAGTTGACTCAATGACAGGCCTTATGATACAGCACGCATGTGCTAACCACCCCCCCCCCCCCCCAAAAAAAATAAAAAAAATAATAAAATAAAATAAGAATTATTTTTAGACATAAATGTTTTAGCAATAATTATCAACACAATTCTTTTATGTTTTTCATGCGAGAAATCATAGTAATGAGTCAAGATAGGCTTTTCGAATGAGACTTAATATCTGTGTTCCAGTAAGTGTCGTACACAAGGCATTATATAACTTCTAAAACATGAGATACAACTCCGTTTATTTTGAAAGCCCGCTGCGCTAATCTTTGTACTGTTCTACATTATCTGTTTAACTATATTGCCAATATGCCACAGTATTTTGTTATATATTCCTCTTTTATAGACATAGACTTCCTCTCTTTAAATATTCTATTTGCATACTGTTCCCCTAAAAGATTATATATTGAAATCCAGTAAAGGATGTTACACTTTGTATGAAGTGGTAGATGTGGTTCATATATCAAAATACTGAATATTGAATTCGTATACTGTAAAGTGTTATTAGGCATAAATAGATAACTTGATAAATACATTTTTTAATTTTTAAAAAAAAATACTATTTCTTTTCATTAGAAGTCATGCCTTAACGAGAAAACTTAGTGGACCAATACACAGAACAGTAGACAAATTCACACAGCATTTGACCAATACACAAAACAGTAGTCAAATACACACATCAGTAGACCAATACACAAAAAAGTTGGCGAATACAAACCGCACCAATACACAAAACAGTAGTCGAATACACACAGCAGTTGACCAATACACAAAACGGTGGACAAATACACTTATCAGTAGACCTATAAAAAATCGGTGGAAGCGGACGTAAAATACAACTAACTAACAACAACAACAATACAGTAATCGACATGAGTATAGATGGACATAACTTAGACGTACATGTAACGTTTTCAAGTTGCATCCATACATATCTATTGTGGTTTGTTGTTTTTTCTTGGAGGGGGAGGGGGGATCGTCGTTGTGTTCCTTC